TGCTGCTGCTGCTACTACTATTACTAAAAATTTTTATCATTACATCACCGTTACAATTACTGGAGTAAGCGGCTCAAGCGGAATACGAAAAAGACTGGGATCTCCGGAGCCTGATACAATGGCAAGGGCAAATGATTTCAACAAATTCGAGACTAGGACCGTTGAGGGATTGGGGTCTATAGGGTCAACAGCCGCTAAGCGGCACAGCGTCCAGACCCGTTCGTTTTTCCCGATGGTCTTTCGCAGTTTCCTGTGTTTGTCATGGCCAGGAGCATGGCTATCACCTTGGCGGTTTTGTTATCCTCAATGCTTCGTTGTGATAGCTGTGCCGGTGTTGAGCCCAGAGTCGTTTTGCTATGAATCGGCTGGCGCAAGATTCCGAATTTCAAAGCTCCGAGGGTTCAAGACAGACCACACCTTGAGAGATGGTCTCCTGACATGGAGCAGCTTTGAGGTTAAAGAGGCTTCGGACGTGGGGGGTGTCGTGGGCCGGGCCTCCATTGCTCCCGCCCCAACTGTTTGGTTTTGGCAACTCGGTGTTTCAGTTTGTCCTAGAGGTCCTAGTATTGGACTGGTCATGGCCAGAAAGTGTCAGAAACCGCTTTCAGAAAATGCATCCCGAGGTAGTGCCCGTCATGAGCTTCGCATCTGACCTGTTTCGGGCGAGCGCACATACGGTAGTTGTAGCATTTGTAGCAGTATATAGCATAGTGGGATAGTATAGCATCATAGTGAGAAAAAACAGTGAGAGGCGTGCGCATGGACGCAGATCGAAGAGCTTGCTGCGACCCAGATGCTGCGGCTCACTATGGAGTTGGCGCTACAGAGGTCACAGGTGCGGAGCGTTGACTCTTACTCCGCTAATGAGTCTTGGGTTTCCAGCAGGAGCAAGTTCAAGCAAAGGTGGAGTTCAGGGCCCAAGCAACATCCCCCGATCCTGCTTCAAAGCTTCCGAAGACCAAGTGTGCCTAAACCCTGAAACCCTAAACCCAAACCCTAAACCGAATGTTCCCAAGACAGGGGTCCGACGATCTGGCCACAATGCGAGCTGTAGAGCTGCGCGCGCGGAAGGAGCTCCTTTGGATGGGTTCGGGCAGGGCTTTGATTTGGGTTTTGTCAGGCAGGGCATAAGATTCTGAAATCTTTCCGGGACGGCTGCATCCCTATCATCGAGGTTTGTCAAACTACCCGCTCGAGGCCAAGCATCCACCAGAAGCGGTAGAAGCAGATTGCGAAATCTTGACGTTGAAGGTAGCGCTGGCTACCTCAACTTCCCTCAACCAGTACACCTGAAACCCTCAAACTTTCGAAGCGTAAACCCGACCTGACAGGAGCAGATGATCGAACTGGCAGAGCGTGCTGCCAGGCCCGTGCTAAGCGTACGGTCTGAAGAATCTTGCATGTCAGCCTCAACCGCAGAACTGGTACTAGAATATGATTTTAAGCCCAAGGGGTTATAACTTTGCCTTCATCATGCGTTAAGCGTCCAGATGTTCTATGAGGCCTCCACACTAGAAACCCTGTGTGCATTTTGGGGCTTAGTACTTTGGGCCCAGAGCGAGGATTCCGGAAGCGGGACTTAAAGCCGAACTCCCAGCTGATCGGCAGATGTGGAGTTCAACAAAGCCGAAATCACGGGCAGAATTCGTAATATAGGTAAGGGCCTATTAGTTATTATTACCTATACTTTTTTTGGGAGGTTCATTATTATGAACATAGTATAGTATAGCATACCCCAAGACCCTATTCTAATTAGTAAGGCCCCTACATTGGCAGTAGGGGTAGATCGGGATACTTGCAGCGAGCTGGAACCGAATTGGCGAATTCGTTTGAAGTGATCTGACGTGGTCGCATGTGCATGCTGCTATGTGTCACGATGCAGCATCTGGACTTGAGGTTCAGATGGTGAAACAAAGGTTCTTCTTGTCTGACTCCCTTCTTGCGTGTTTTACCTGTCTAGACGACGAAGCAGCATACTTCTTTCAGAGATCGCTTAACTTCACGGCAAGATGTGCAAGTTTGGCATTTCACATACTGAATATAGAAATAAATTTAGATGGATAGATAGGTATATATATATATATATACGCTAAAGTGTGTAAATGTATGTATGTATGTATCTATGTATGTATGTATGTATGTACGTATGTGTGACAGATATAATGCATTTTGCATATCATACATTCCAACTTAAGTAATGGACAGGATTGTCAACGAGACGGCCCACCGGATGGGAGCCCGGATGGGTCTGCCAGCAGAGTGGGACGTGGTGGAGCGAATGGCGGGGACCGACGGCGCGCTGCTGAAGAAGGCGCTTAATATTGAAGCCTAAATAACCTATAGTATTTTGGGGGTTCCTTATTCTAATTGTAGTATACTGGGCCCCAAAACCCTATTCTAACTATTAAGGCCCCCTATATTATGGGTTTTTTGGGCTTGACCGTGTGCACGTCGCCAGGATGGGGTTCCGGCTCTTGATTTGCCTCCCGAGCTCTTCTCATGGCGTTATAGCTGTTTTCGTGCACAGTGCGTATAACATCCTCCTTAAGCGTTATCATGTCAATCCCACATGGCACGGGACGAGCTGTTGAGCTGCAGCTTCCGAGATCTGCTGTAGCATATAAAAGGCTTTTAGGCTTTTGAAGCCGAGTGCTCCTGAATCACGTGAACGCTACCACCTTTCGATAGCACGAGTTACCCCTGAAGCAATGAAGGATGAAGAAACTGCTGCAGAGCTGCTGAAAAGAGTACAAGACCTCGACGCTTGGCTTAAAATGCTTCTGTGGAGGCTGGCGCTGCACAGTGTTGGAACCCAATCGCAAGCGGCTTCGGTCTTAAGTGGTGTTCACATTCGCCTTCCAGCTGCGGGCCTGAGATGTTGACCCGAGCTCCCGAATGATCTCAGGTCAATGCTACCTTTTGGGGCTGGGGCGGGCACGGCGCACGCACTCGCACCCGGGATCGCGGAACGGAGCCGGTGGCCAAGGGCTTGCAGGCTGCCGGGCACCAAGAGAAAGTCTTAAAATTAATGCTCGATTTATAGGGCTTGAAGGGTAGTAATTGACAAGGTGTGTGTGTGTGTGTGTGTAGACTCATCCTGGATCCTCAGCCTGTTAAGTGGCTGTGGGTAGCAATCATGATGAGGCTCCTGTAGGACTGTATAAGAATCGACTCAATAGCTCCGATGCATATCATCAGCGTTTGAGAGCTCGACTTGCTGTGTTTGGACAGTTTTTGGTTTTGTGGCGCTCACCTAAAAAATGATCTGCTCCGGAAGGTAATGTCCGTCATCTACGTGCAGAACGCCGAGGCTTGTGGCACAGAATCGCCTCAGGAGGAACAGAATAGCTGCTGTAGCTGCGTGTTCGACATTGACATCTGTTTATAGAACTATTTCTGGAAGTAGCACAAGAAAGAGTCTGCTTGACAGCTGTGCATGTTGTGTCCTTTGTTTAGTCACCCTGGAAAGGGCGGGGCTCGGCCGTATCAAACTAGAACACACAATCCAAACCCGGGCCGGGTCAAAGGTCAGAACAGCCTTGCACTCATCACTCCGTACACGTATGGGTATCAGCAGTGCGAAGGTGACTGTCGTGCGCCAGCTGTTGCTAGCATTCGACTGCCACCGCCAGCACTCCGATGATAATGAGTTCGTAGCTTCATTGGTTAAGCCTTACTGGCAGTGTTGGGGGCTCAGGTGTTTGTGAACTACCGAGCCCGGCGTGCAGAGATCGCGGGGGTCATGAAGCCGGACATGCCGACGCTGGGCAACAGACGGCAAGTGACCTTATTTAGCTCTCGCTGTCACTCTGGTCCTTCTTGATTGTTGTTTTGACCTCCGATAACAGAGCCTTTTGTGTGCACGGTTCGGTTGCTTGCTCTTCTGGGCTTCTTGCAGACATACGCTGTGATTATATATATATATATACATACACATGTGTGTTATGGCTATCATGACGACGGTCGCACCTCACCAGTGACACTATCAATCTTGCCTTTTGCACTGTTTAAACATTTGAGCGGTTGTTGTCCTGGTACACCTTGCTGTCACTGCGCAACTACTTACCCTGGTGTTGACTATGCTGATTAAATGGCACCGGCACTCCGGCAGACTTTGTTTGCACGATTGCTTCTGCTCCTTTCGTTTTGATGCTGACGCCGTGATCTGTTCCCAGTTGCCGCTCCCTGCCTTCCCCATAGGCCCCAAAGTAGTTCCTTTTTGGGGCTCATGTATAAAATCCTATAGGGTAATCCCAAAAAGGAACTACTATGGGCCTATGGGTCTGCTACTCTCTGCAAAAAGGGCTTCAGACCTGGAGTGTGGAGACACCCAGGGGATCAAAGATGGGCGCCTTAGTCCGTTTAGGGTTTAGGGTTTAGGGTTTAGGGCTTGAGGCCCCTTGAGGCCCTTGCTTCAGAACTGCCTGAGGTTCCGAAACACGCCGCTGCAAGTAAGAAGCCCCCCTGGTAGGATTCAGGTAGGTCCTGGCTTCTCCGGGGTTTTCTGTACAGACTGAGAATGAGAAGCAGCGATGCGGATTTTGAGAAAGGACAGTGATGAAGCCTTAATACACGAACGCCCGAAAGCCAAAAGACAGCCAACGCACCTGGCTGCCGAACTAGTTTCAGAGCTGTGCAACTCTCTGCAGGCAAAGGACATTTCTGAAGAATTCTGACTGGCTGTTTAACATCCAGCTGGTATTTTACAGCACTTTCTCCACCCTGCCTCCGCCGCATGACCCGGGCCCACCCGGCCCCAGCCCGGCCAGGCCAGGGTGGAGCAGAAAAGTGCTGTAGTTTGCAGCATTGTTGTGCTCCACCCTAGTTCCGCCGCCTCCCCAAATGAGTACAGCATACACTATAATTACATTACAATATTCAATAGACTATAACATATGTTTGTATATATATATATATACAGTTTATAAATATGTAACCTCTGCAGGATTGGCGATGTGTGGGATGTGAAGACTGCATCTGTGCCGCTAGCGGGCGTTGGCCGCATGAAGGACTTCCGTGGGACTCGGAGTCCAAAGCGTAATCTGACTGGTGCGGAGATCATAAGGCGGCGAAAACGGCTTTAGGGCTTGGGGGGGTCAGACACATTCGGGCTTCCGAATCCCAAACCCTAAACCCCTAAACCCTAAATCCCAACTGAGTCAACTGTTAACTATCTTAAGAAATTCCTCCAGGCCCCTAGGCACCTCTAGGCTTCCATTCAGTGGGAGAAGTCCGGCTTGGAGGTTGAAGCACCCAGTCTCGGTTGGCATGGTCTCTTTGGACCTGCGAATCGCAAGACTCTTCGTAGTTTCAAGATTTATTGTTTGACGGGGTGTTGGTTTTGCAAGTCTGTTGGTTTACTTCTGGCTGCCGCTTGTTCTGTTCGAGCATCGTCTGACCGATGGGGCAGCTCCACGCCGCGGTACGCACATATCTGGACAGGAGAATCCGGTTGATCCCAAAATCAACGAGCACTATCTCTGGCACGGCTGCAAACCGGAAGCTTGTCTTTGAAAGTCTAGCTGTAGCCTGGGCGAAGAAGGGTCAGGAATTTGCAAGCTACTCTCTCCGTCCGTCCAAAGGGCATGACGACATGTCAACTTCGTTATTACTGATCGAAGATCAACTGTCGCCTGTGATTGTTCGTGTTCAACATTCCAGAGAGCCACGGCTCTTCTAATGCCAAGGAAGGGGCAGAAGGCAGCTCGGCTTACGACAGCATCGGCAGCTGCCACAGGATCGTTTGTTGCCTTGGGTCTGGTGCACAACCAAAACCCTAAACCCTAAACCCTAAACCCTAAACCCTAAACCCTAACCTAATCATAGAGGTGACTTGGGGCTTCCAGAGAGCCATTCTGAAAGTTCCGGGGGGCCCTTGCAGTAGCCGAGGCATCACCGATGCCAACTTCGACTTAACCCGTGCCCGAGCTGCCCATCGGAGGTTTGAGGATGGGAGGTTGCCATTTTTCTGTAGTTTTGTAATCATGAAATATGACTCAAGGTTATATGAAGTTCTATAGCCTTGTGTACTATAGTACTTCTGGATTTCACAAACATGTTCTGCGGGCGTCGTTCAGGTTGGGCGAGCCGTTTTGTGCAGATGGCGTAATGACGACGTATTGTAGAAAGCTCTAAACCGAAAGCACCGGAAGGCTTAGCTTCCATGCAACCAGTCTTTCTGACAGGCTTAGGCTTCGGTGGAGTCGATAGCATAAAACCCGAAGTCTCTGAATACCAATGTCAAGGTGTAAGCTGCCATCAAGTCTGGCTTGGGGTTTAGGGTTTAGGGTCACGCTGCAAGTCCGTGCTTAAAAAAGGGTTGGGAGCATGATGGACTCTACTTCAGCCCACATTTGGGAATGATCCCTGTAACTACAGCCGCGTTTGGCCAGGCATCCGAGCTTAAGCAGTATCTAGCGTGGCGTATTTCCTTTCCGCGACAAGTGCAGCTTAAGAGGCAACTGTATATGGATCGCGGGCATCAGGAGAAGCATAACCTAACTCGTGATGAGAACCATTTCAGCTCGCAGCGGCGGGCCGACCATGTCCAGTCACGTCCATGCGCTGCCCGGCGAATGACTCAATGACCACGGGAACCCTCGTAATATTATGGCTTGGAGGGAGAAGTTCTCCTCCGTTTGCCTTTGCGGTCGACTTGGGCACTAAACTTGCGCTCAGCTCCCCTGAACTCGTGTTTGTGCGGTGCCCGGAACCCGAGCAAGCGCCCGACAGCTGCAGGTGCAGGGACTGCTTTCGGATCGCTCTTCGGGCCAGGGATTTATCTGGCTGAGAGCTGCCGCTCGGCGTGGGCAGAATATCTCATCACAGTATGGTTGCTGTTGCTGTTGCTGCTATGACGACGACAAGATATATTGCCCATGCTACTCCCCGCAGTACTTTATGTTTGTTGGGTTGGCGACCTTTCGAATCCGTGAACGGAGTACCGGAAGAAGCTTGTTTCCGAGCGTGTGCTGAAAGCTTACGGGGGCTCCTATCCTTCCTTGAGGGTGCCACATGGTCTGTAAATTGAAAACTGTGTGGCTTTCCTACTTGGTTTTCTGAGCCCTGCCACTCATGTTCGGAAGGTCTTGTTTCGGGATTTCGTGCCCTGGGAAAAGCCAGTGTTCTGTTTTATCGGTGGCGAAAGCCCAGGTAGTCTGCGTAAAACCTGGTTCCAGGTTTCGAACTAAGGAGTCGACTGTCACTGTGAGCTTTGGTGTTTGACGATCTTGGGTCTATACGTGATGTTTCGTGTGCTGTACTTCAACCACTTCTTCTGACAAGATTACACTTGAGAGGCACAGCATGTCATCCTTCGTTTTGCGCCATTTGCCGCTGCATGTTATGTCGTGCAACATGCATGCTGTCATTACTCTAGACTTTTGAAACCCAGCACGCGCGCACACACACACACAGATATACATACGCATAAATACGCAGGTACATATAGACATCAATATATTCCTTCCGTTCTTCCTTCATTTTTTCCTTGATTCATGCATGCATGCATGCATGCATTCATTCATGCATTCGTTCATATGCATACATTTTCACTGGTTCGTGCGTTCTTTCATTCGTTGATTCATCCATCCGGCTCGCCATCTCGAGGTATGGGCTACGGACCCATGAAAAGAAGATCCCATGATGCGCCCACGCTCTTCTTAGTCTAGTCGATCAAGAGAGATACCCATAGGCCCTAAAGTAGTTCCTTTTTGGGGCTCATATATAAAATCCTATAAGGTAATCTCGACAAGGAACTACTACTGTATGGGGCCTATGGGCAAGAAGTCTATGGCCCCCGGGAGCTCCTTTTTTTTGAGCAGGGACTGCAAAGCACTAAGCCCTGAATCCCTTCAGCCAAGCTCCTGACTCCAGCGCTTATGGCAGAGCACGTGAAGCATGTTCCCCGAGAGTTCCTAAACCCCTAAAGCCTAGCGCCGAAATTGTCTAAGCCTTAAAGCGAGGCATGAAGGCGGACGAGTACACGCAAGCCGATCACCGGGGATACTTCCCGCTCTTGCTTTGCAGGGCCGTGCCTCGCCTTTGTAAGCGGAGAGAGAGAGAGAACCTTGATAAAGATACAAGATTATGCTAATATCATATTGTACAATATACCTAGGACCTAGGTTCTACAAATAATTTTACTATAGTGTGTATGATAAATGATACATATATATATATATATATATATACAAATATGAAGATTCTATTCTGGGTCCGGGGATTTCTCAGATGGTCCAAGCCACTCGTGAGCATCTGAACGATTTTTGGTAATCTTGCTTGCCTCTCTTCCAGGTCTTGTTGACACAGAGGAATAACATATGGTCTCGAATGATCGTGCCGACCTGATGCACCGGATGTATCTACAAGCATATCGCGCCCGAAGTCTTCAGACGCAGCCCGAACTCGTCCGAGCAGCGGGTTGCTCCGTGAAGCTGGGCCTTGGTTCCACAAGCAATGCGTGGAAGTCCAAGATCCTATGTTCGACTGTTGGACTGCAGGTGCTTGGGAATGTTCTCTATTGCGACCATCCCTCGCCGGTTGAAATCAGCGCCAGTCTTGTGGCCGCCTGCGGCGAGCGAGGAGGCGACGAGACCTCATATGACGTGTGAGTCTGTGATTTTGGCAGAGCCTAGGCACAAGGTGAGGTTTGAGGTCTCAAGAAGAGCAGACTTCAGTTCCAGCCTGCAGAGGGCACGCAAGCTGACAGGCCACCACAGCGTCCTCGGAGATCGGGAGAAGGTCAACGGAACATTCCGCGAGTTCATTGTGCCCGGCCTAGTTCAGGTGTTTACACACAGGTTTCTTTGAGTAAGATCTCCGGCGGGCAGAGCATGCATACAACAACTTCCTGCGTTCTCTGCGTGCCGGTTTGGTTGCTAGGTCATCGGGACTTGCTATCATAGTTTGGGAGGTTCCTCCTGCGTATCGGTGCATGTGGCAAACTTGAGAGTCTGCCGACACAGGTCACCATTGCACCATCTCCGGACCACGAACACCGAACCTTCATATGTCATATGTCCTGTCTAGCCTCATGGGCGGGATCAGACAGGGTTGCAGGCATGAGACAGCTTCTGTCAAGAAGTAGGTAGCCTTCAACCTCGCTCAGATGACTGGTCTGACAGCCAGGTGTTCGACAATCACCAGGTGTATCCCGAGTACATCGTGTGGTATCGTCGTGTGTATTAGCTTCTTGGAGATTTTCCCTGGGAGCTGCGACTTCCAACTCACTCGGATCCTCGGCCTGCGATTGTCACAAGCACTTCCCTAAACCCTAAACCCTTACCTCCTCTTCTAGAATGCTCTTGTGGAGGTCGCAGTAGAGCAGTAGTTCGAGGGCAGCTCTGTGCATGGAGTCAGGAGCTGTAGAGAGTCTTGACCGTGCATGCCGGCCCTTTCTGCGCTGCCTCTCTCACTTGGGTTGAATCAGGACCATTATAGGTCAGTCTGTCCGTCAGACTTCGCAAGCAAAGGCGTGCACGAACTTCGTCTTGCGTGGTACAGTATCTAGTAGATGAAGGCTCATACTAGAAGAGGCAGTGGTGGCGCCGCATTGGCGACATTATTCGTAGTTTCCCTGATGGGATTTAGTTGTGCACCACGGGTCATTTGAGATCACCGGCTCATGACTGCTTAGTCACAGCCTGGTTTCGGCCAGCACCGCTCTTCTTAAGTTTCAGTGCGCAAGTCTCAGTGATCTCGAAGCTTGACTGTTTATAAGAGCATTCGGTACGTCTGAGGAGGGCTGAGTGAGGATTCTTTATCATCTTACGCAGGTAGGCATCCCCACTGAATTTGTTTTGTTGTTTAATTTTCGTTGGATCAGTGCAGCCTGTACTTCTGGTACTTCTGCTCTCGCTCCATGTGATGGCTCCGGCACCATTCGAGCAAGATGTGTGTTCTTATGGATCTTCAACGGAAGGTTTTTCTCGCAATGGATGGCTGCCGGATTTTCGCCCATCTTGTCGAGCTCGCAAAAGCGAAGTCACGACCTTAGATTGCGACATTCTCTAGGGGCCCGGTTTATCTACTTTAGCCTGTACCCTAAACCCTAAACTAACTATCCTGGTTTTCCCTATTGTCGGTCCATATGTAGTACGAGGACCGACTCCAAACGGCCCCTATTGCTCGCAGCCTCTCCCCCAGTCTCCGATTGCACAAGGCACGGAGTCAGACGGCCTAAAAAAGGGGTTAGGGGTTAGGGTTTAGGGTGCCAGGCACCTGTTTTGAGATAGCCGCACACGGCATGACTTTCAGCCTTTTCCCTTCCCGAATCGCCAACTGTCACGACGCGGTCTTCGGCTCTTCTTGGCTTTGTGGAAGCTTTGGGTCAGCCGACTTCCCTCCCTATCGCTGCTTAGCGGCAGTGGTCTCGGCTTGGAAACTGAAGCTTAGTAGTAGAATAGCTAACCTTTAAATCTGTTTGGGGTACGATAGTCCGTACATAATCTCAACATACTCCCAAAGGTTGTACCTTTAATTCCCCAGGATACTGGACAAGTGGCTAAGTCGAGAGGCTCCCCAAGCCTCGCAGTCCTTCCTAACCCAAGTACATAACATGTGCATTTACTCGTGGTGTTGCTAGCAGTACTATTGTTGTGTTAATAGTGTTATTTTCTGATAACAACTAGCAATAGTATAGCAATTCTTATTATGATCACCAGTCATTAAGATTGCTATTGTAGGCTATCCGCATGATTAGATCCACTTCGCAAGTTGATGCGCCATGTTCCGAGAACTATGTTCTAGCTGTGTAGGCCACTGAACAGGCTTCACTGAAATAACGTAATTGACGTAGCCTCGACCCGCCACAAGTTGCCCCCCAACTGCAACAGCCAAACCCCAAAGTCTCTTTGAAGCGTGTGCTCGGGGGAAACAGAAAGTGGCATGAAATAGTGATGCATCAGTAACTCGAACTTGTAGCTTCATCCCTGGTTTGTTCTATGTGGAATGAGGTCGTCCAGTGTTGGTGTTTTATGTGTCTGTATGTGTTTGTGAGACTGGTTGAAATTCTGAGCCCTTCGATGGTAGAAGTCATCGGTCCTGTCGTCGCGAAGCCTTGTGCGACCGTCAGAGTCGAAACCCCAAGGGAAAAAGACCTTCAAAGCCATCACGAATATGGAGCTTCCATCTGCGAGCACCCAAACCCGAAAATTTGCCTTAGTCTAGTCTAGTTGGACACAAGAGACCTCGTCTGGCGGTGTCCGAGTTGCGAGAGCGTAAAGCTTCAGAACCACCGAGGCAGCCATGGCTGGCGATCCCTACCCTACACCACCGCCCGCCGCGCGTTTCGTGGGTATTGACCTGGGAGTCAGCTGCGCCGGGAGCTTAGAATTGAGGCTGGCTGGTTTTAATTTTCCACGTTGTGAATAGTTGTGAATGTGGGAGCGCAGCGGGGCGGGATATCGATCTGGACAGCCAGGCTGCGAAGCAAGGTCATAAGCAGCACAGATGCAGACCTTGGGCAGTGCCTCCTTCGTACTCTCTCGTCTCACCGCCACACAGTAAGTGTCAACACCAACCATCATCCCAAACCCTAAACCCTAAACCCACAACTCTTAGGCAGTATGCCGAAGTGATTAGGGCTAGCAAGGCTCCCAAGCCGACCTGAAGTCTCTGAAATCCCCAGACCTTGCAGCTACAAGTTCTGAAGCTGAGGTTGTGGCATCCTCGAGCGTGGAGGACATGCCCCCCAAGTTTGCCCAATGAGTTTCATCCTGCCAGGTGATGGTGTAGGTTGAGAAGAGCGGTTTCAGAAGGTTTCGGCCCGTCTGCCATGCCACCAGGAGCGCAACGCCATTACCATATGCACGAATGATGTATCTGGACGATCGACACCTGCTGCCGTGTCTTACGACGGCAAGCTTCGACATGTGGGTGTGGCTTGGCGCTTGCTAGAGTCGGAGAGGCTTCTGAAGCACGGGGTCGGCGGTGCGACCTTGAGATACTCTGAATATCCGTCGCAATGCCAGTGCAGACACCACGACCTCGACTACAAGCATCGGTATCATTACTTAAGCAGTGGGGGTATTACATTCGGGGTCATCATCATGTGGAGGAGAAGTTTCAAAGAGTCCCGTAGCCTGGCCAAGGTAAATGCCGAAGGCCGTCTGATGAGCGCTCCGAAACAGACGCTTTCACACCTACCGCTGGCGCTGGTGCGCCACTCAAGTCTTGGCGAGAGGGGTCAGGAGGCATAGGAAGCATCATGCAGCATGAGATGCTACTGCAGTGGCGTTCTAATCAGTTTGAGCAGCACCGCTTCTAATCATGACGCCACAAGTAGTTGCCAAGTCTCTGCACGACACTGCAGGCAAGTTAGGGTCTAAAGGTGCTTCAGGGTTGAAAATAGTAAACATGATAGTAATAAGAAGAAGCTTAGTCACAGTGAGAAAAAACAAAAGAATAATAGTAACAATGACAACCATAAGTCAGAAGAATATTGTATCGAAAAACAACGGCCTGCCTGTCTGCCTGCCTGTCTGCCTGCCTACCTATATATGTATGTTTATTCGCCCTTGTACATATGTTTACATATGTATGTATGTATATCACATATATATATATATATGTATTTGCTTTCACTTGTTTATATACATACATATCAGCTTTTTGGATATATATATATATATATATATATATTTCATAGAGTCCTTCATGGGGAGCCTTCAAATCATCGGGTTTTCTGACGCTGAGGCGGCCTCGGATGCTGCACGGAAGCGAGCAGAGAAGTATCAGTGGCTCTTCCCGATCCAGGAGGACGCCATGCCTCTCCAACCCTCCGACCTCTTCACCGTAAGTGCGGGAAACCCTTATAAACCCTAAACATCACGGGCCCCTTGTACCAGTGTCAAGCCGACTCAAGCCTACGGAACCTCGCCTGGCATGTCCGAGTTGCGAGAGCGGAAACATCACAATTTACAAGTCCGTGACTTCTTGAAACGGAACCCGTGAGAAGCCTCTGAGCTGTGCTCCTTCGGGCTGCAAGGACGGCAAGTTGGGCCCCGTTGCCTTTGATGACAAGGACTTCCCAGTTTCTACTTGCGGACCCCTGAGTGTGCCTTCTCGAGCTTCAGGTTTTGTTGGGCTTTGGGGCACAGGGTTGGTTTTCCGGAGGGCGTTCTATCTCATCGTCGTCCATTCTCGCCTGATGCTGTTCTGAGTTAAATTCGTGTCCAATCTGCTCCGAAGTCGCACATGTATGTTCCAGGATCTAGGAGGCCACTCCCCCTCCCACGTCTTCCCCCTCTCTTGTTGGTGTGCTTCGGTTTGGGTTTGGTTGTGGTTTCAACTTGGCAGATGCTCACGGCCTTCACAATCGTGCAGTTCATCAGATATATCAAATCCCGACGATTTTGATAACAAGCCGGTGTGGCTATAAGGGTACCGCGACACTTGCCCACTGGAGTCTGCTAAGGTGCTTCTTCGCACTCTCAACAGCTACTCGCCGAGCTTTCCAGCCTTCAGCTCCAGAAGAATCACGATGCCCTCGAGGGTTTGGCTGGGCTAAAGGCTGGATTCTCGTTCCTTTCGGATTGCTTTGGGACACACCCATGTGCAACACCTTTTTGTTTGGTATTGGCCATTTTTCATTGCGGCATCTGGGTTTCAGGGCCAGGGTTTGATAAAATAGGCCTGGATGGAAAAAGGCCGCGGTCTTTGGCGCCCGGGAGGGGGGTGGAGGGAAGTGCTGTAAAGCGACATGGAGTGTGGCCATGAGTGCAAATCATCCGAACCATGCAAAGCTGCAGGGACTCTTGATTTTTCGGATGGCACTAATGCAATGGACCGTCCTGAGATGTTTCGTTTCG